CCCCGAGCTAACATCCATTGCCAATCTTCCTCTTTTTGCTTGAAGAAGATTCACCTTGAGCTAACATCTGTGCCAATCTTCCTCTATTTTGTATGTGGGTCACCGACACAGCATGGTCACCAACACAGCACGGCCACCGACAAGTGGTGTAGGTCTGCGCCTGGGAACTGAACCTGGAAGCAGAGCACACTGAACTTAACCACCAGGCCACGGGGCCAGCCCCAAGGAGTTTCTGAGAAGTTGGAAATGTTGGGAAAACAAAACAGATGCTCATTCACTCAGAAGATATTGATGAACAATACTAGTTGTGTATGGGTCTGCACGTGACACAGTATTTGATGCTGGGTGGGGATAGAGTGCCTATAGGACCCCTTTCTTCACGGATTTTATGCCTTAGTGGGGAAGATACTTACTGAAAAATAAGGATCACAATAAAATCTGATGAGTATTACAATAGGGCAGAATGTTCCAAACAGGCCTAACTGGGAGGAAACAATTCCCATGGGGTGCCTGTTAAAGACACAGACTCCTGGGCCCACCCAAACCCTAGGAATCAAAATCTGCTCAAAAGTGCCCTTGAAATTTTTTTAAATAGCAATCTTCATTAGGCAAGTTTAGAAAGCCTGGTGATCAAGAATGAGCAGGACACTACGGGAACTCATACCTATATGAAACAATCAGTAAAATGAAGTACATACTGGAAAGCCATGTACAGCAGTGGTTAAGAGTATGGGCTCTGGAGTCACACTGCTAAAGGTCACATCTCAGCATCATCCCTCAGAATACAAATAATAATAATTATGCCTTGGGATTGTTGTGAAGATTAGGTGAGAAAATCTTTGTAATAGTAGCATAGAAAGAGTAGCACAGTTATAGAACAAGAAGGTGAATCATGAATCATAAGAGGTTCACTATATGATTCATAAAGCTTCCCTGTTCTCCCAACAGGGAGAATGTAATAAATGTAATAAGTAATTGCCAAAAAAAAAAAAAGTGGTTCTGTTTCTTCTATAAAAAGCAGAATAGGGAGAGTTGAATAGGGGAAAATCCAGACCACGCTGTAATCAAAAGGGAAGTCTTTCATGTAAGAGAAGGTAATTGTATTGATTCTAAAGGCTAGACATGATTTAGAAAGACAGAGATAGAGAATGAGAAGAAAAGCACAAAGAAAGCAAAGACACAGGGCTGCTCATAGTGTGTATGAATGTGAGACTTGTAGCACAGGCCTCATTCTACCACTAATTAGCTATGCACTTTTGGGTAAGTTAGTTAATTATAATTGGCCTAAATTTATTTCCCTGTGATAATATGGGGTTTTGTTAATTATATTATAGTTATAGTTTTTTGTATATTCTATATTTCCATCATCTTCATAGTCTTCTCTAGTGTAAAAATTCTGAGGGGAACTGCAATATACACTGGATCCACTAGATGGCAATATTTGGCTTTGTAAACGGATGTGTTTTACAGCGTCTGAAGACCTCTAATAATCACCTAAGAGTGCGTTTAAGGTTCTCCAGAAAACACAGATAGACTACATTAACTAATTCCTCATACTGAGGTCAATTCATAACATAAAGATAAAGCAGGTGTTTTTCATTCCTTTGTTTTAGACCCACAAGTAATAAAGGGTCATTGTTAGGATATTCTGTTTTAACTCTTTACTGCCAGGGTGAGTTATATCATAACAACAAAATAAACACAGAATTATGTGCATGGGGTCCCATTCTGAATTGAGCCAGTACAACACCCCAAAAGACCCTGACCCTCAGTCAAATGCAGCAAGTCAATCATAAACTTTTTCATCATAGTCTACATATCTCACCAAACTCCTCCCCTAAAAGAGAAAAGGAAAAAAATCTATTTTCTTTTCAGCATGATACATTTTTTAAGTAGTGTTAATATTATCCTTTTTTTTGGTGAGGAAGATTCGCCCTGAGCTAACATCCATGCCAACCTTCCTCTGTTTTGTTTGTGAGATGCCTCCACAGCACAGCTGATGAGTGGAGCAGGTCTGTGCCTGGGATCTGAACCTGCGAACCCAGGCTGCCAAAGTGGAGTGCAAGGAACCTCAACCACCTGGCCACAGGGCCAGCCCCAACATTATCATTTTTTATAGTAAAAGTAAACTATCCTTATTTTTAAAATTATGACTATTCAAAACACTGTAAAGAAGAAAATGAAAATCATCTTCAAGCAATAACAATGTTAATATGTTTCTGTCAAAGTCTTTTTGCTGGATGGAAAAGAAATATAGATGCATCTTTTTATCTTTTTTGAGTTAAAAATATTTTGAAATCTTTCCATGTTGATAAATATATTACTATATTAATGATCACTAGCATTCAATCAGTCACATGTAAATATTTACAAAATTTATACAGAAAGTGTTCCGAGGCAACACACTTTAATTGAAATGCCTGGCCTTTCCCGACAACACTATTCTTCACAAAATTGACAGAAATGGCTCCATTTAAGGATGACTAATGACTAGAGTGGGACTTATACAGAGAAAAGGAGGAAGACAATGGAACATAACAGAACCTAACAAATGAGCTGATGAAAAATACATATCAGAAAAATTTTGCCAGGAAGCAGATTAGTTCAACAAACACTCAGGTGATGACCTGAAAACAGTGAAGGAATATATGACCCCTCCGAAACAACATCTCAAGGAAGGGAGCAAAAGGAACACTTTTGAGAACTACATGGGTGACATGCAGAGAAGGCTAGAACAAGAAAGTAAAAAGTAATGCAAAGATCAAAGTTGAAAGTGAGCTGAGACAATGGCAGATATGGGAGGGAGATACTTTATTTTTTTTATGATATTCTGAGATCATAATAAATCAAATAGAGAGATACTTTATTTTTTTTATGATATTCTGAGATCATAATAAATCAAATAGAAATAAACCTTCAAGTAAGTATTAGAAGGAAACTTAGCTGAAAATATGGGAAAAGCTAAATCTTCAAGTCAAAAATGGACACCATGCCCCATGAAAAACTGACACAAAACTGTTAATAAGACATTACTTTATGAAATTACTGGACTCAAAGATGAACAGATACAAAAGAGGTGTCTCTAAAATAAAGTATCTCTGAAAGGCTAAAAGTAAAAGGGATGTATGAGACAAATGAAAATAAAAGAACGAGCATCTCATTTATCAGCCAAGGTTGATTTGAAAGCAAAATAAAATTAAAATGAGAATAAAGAAAGAACTTTTTAAGGTAAAGGGTATAATTGTAATGAAGATATATTATGAATCAAATAAGATGGTATCAAAAAAATTATAAAGCAAAAATTGCCAAAAAGAAAACCTCAGGAAAGATAGAAAGAAATGCAATAATAGTAGGAGAATTAAGTTCTCTCTCTCAGCCCAACACAGTTCAAGTATTCAAAAAATAAGGATATAGAAGATCTAAATAAAATTATTAATTAGCAGGCCCTTAAATATCTTAGGAGTCATTCTGTGCAATGGTGTTATGTTTTTATGTCACTAGTACAAATGCTGAGAAATACTTTCAAAATGCAATGTTGAAGGGTCTCTCTTCACATACAAAACTACGTAGCTTTTAAAAATTGGAACACGTAATTCACAGCACAATTGAATGCACTGACCAATCGCTATGTTTTACACAGTATCTTATTTAACACAGTCTCAAAATCAACCCAATTATTATGGACTCCATGGCAGTAAATTATCTTACTTTAAAATGACTTTGGCAACAGACTAGAGGTAGACTCATGAAAGAGATTTTTGAAATTAGTTTTCTACTTCGCCTATAGCTATCTAATAAATATTCTAGTCCCTTCTACGTTATTATCTCACATTGTATTAGAAAAGAAGCTATATTGTTACTACCTGGTGGAACTGATATTTAAGGAAAAATAAATTGCTTTCAAGATGTTATAAGCAGCTATGTTCTTCTCCAGAGAACAATTTCTATTACAGTTCTAAATCTCAGATCTATAAACCACATTAATTACTAGTTTTCTTTCTAATAGTAGCATAAAAGGCCATGTCTCAATTGAATCCAATGTCAACTTCAGTCGTGCAACAAAGTCAAAAGCAACAGGCATGTCAACATCCACCACCATCCCACATCCCCAAAGCCTTGCCCATCATTGCCAGACTCTGCTTTGTTACAACTCATGGACTTCAAGGCAAGATGAGGGATCCTCTAAAGTCAGTGACTTTCATGTGTCAGGCTCAGTCAGACATGATGAAAAACAGGAGAAAAATCGGAGGAACTTGGCACAGGTAGAGGCAAAGCAGAGCCATAGAAAAGTGTTTCTTAAGAATCCAGGTAATAGGGAAATTCATAGAGACAGAAAGTAGATTATTGTTTGCTTAGGGTTGGGGGTGGGGATGGGGATGGAGGGATGGAAGTGAGAGCTTTAGGATATGGGGTTTCTTTTTGAGGTGATGAAAATGTTCCAAAATTGACTGTGGTAATAGTTGCATATATGTTGGTGAAGATACTAAGTACCACTGAAATGTATGCTTCAAATAGATGAATTGTATGGTATGCGAATTGTATCTCAAAGCTCTTTTTTGAAAAAGAGGAGGAAGAAGCCAAGTAAAATGTGAGCCAACGAGACCCAAGCAGGGAAGAACATGAGACTCATACTCAAGAGCAATCCAAGATGAAGTTTCCCAGAGGCTCACATAAACAATTCTTGTGTCATAAAAACCTTTTCTGCAGGATGGCCACAGAGAGACTGCTCTTCTTTTAGAGAACTACAGCATATCTATCAAAATATTTACTTCTTAAAGGCAAGGGCAATAAGAAAACTATTCAACTTCTGTTTAAAAAAAAATTCTATGGGTTTCAGTTTGACCTAGACTAATATCAAGAACCAGGCCATAGTATCAGTTTTTAAAACATGCAAATCTATAGAATCCGTAACACACCCTTTGCTAAGACAGTTAAACTGAATTAATGCTCTATCAAAGAAATCCCATTCCCCGAGGTAAAGGGCAGACGCTGAGACTCACAGCTTGTGATGTCACCTTGAAGCTGCAGAATCTGAGGAACTGGCATTGTGAGGACAACAAGATCGAACTGCTCAGGGGAGCCTGTTTCCTTGGAGACTTCCCACTTGTTATTTCTCAGGTTAATCTGGGTCACACATTGTCTGAAGGAAATATCAGCACCTGTTCCAAAAGCAAAATTATGTTCACATAACCAGTATTTTCCATATGAATAAGGGGGAAGAGAAGAGTTACAAACTGGATCCATTCAGGTGAATAAAATGGTGAATGAAGTTTGTTTTCTTCAGCCACTGGGGTTCACTTTCTTTACCTTCTTTCTCTTTTAGTGGAAACTACTATCTTCTGGCACCCTTTGCACCTCCCTATCAATGCCTGCTCTGGGGGAAAAAGTAATACTAGTATAATTAATAATAATAGTAACCATAGCTATCTTTCATGACGCACCTACTATATGCCAAGACTATGTCAAGCACTTGATACACCTTATATCAATTAATTTCACAGATAGGAAAGCAGATTCAGAAATGTCATGCCATGATTTAAAACTAAATCCATCTGACTCTAAAGCTCATTATCTTTGTAGAGCAAGTATACATTTTAGTAAAGTGGTTAACAATTCTTCTCCCAATAGCAAAAGAGCAATATTCTCTATTGAAGGAATTAATATTCCCTACTAAACCTGAATAAAGTCTCTGAAAGAGAAATCCAAGTCCTGATCAATGGATCAATCACCTTTATTAAGAATAATCAGAATTAAGAGAAATACAATCTAGAATATCCTCTCATCACATTTTCCTTCTTCGTACTAATCACAAAGGTATTTTAATAGTTATTTGAGTAGTTATTTGACTAATATTCTCTTCCCTTTTGAACTGTAAGCCCCAGGAGCCAGGAATTATGCTTGTTTTGTTTCTATGTATAGCATATAGCATATACAGTATAGATCTTGGCATATACCAGGTATTTAATTAATATTTGTTTAAGAGAATGAACTATGAACCATAAAGTGAAAGATAAGAAAATATAATTGTATCATTAAGTCTCCTCGGTATACTAGCACTTACCTCACGTTCTAGTTTTCAGAAAACTTTGATTTTAAAACAAATCCACTTTTATTCAGCCTCAGGAATAGAAAAGACAGCAATGAAAATGGAACAAGAAAAAAAAGCACACTGAAAGATCCTGTTCCTCATTACCTGGCATACCTCATGTTCCTAGCCACTAAAAATCCAGCTTACGTCCAACCTCAGCCATGAAGCTTCTTTTCTGTAGCTACTCCAGCTTGATGCGATCCTTATCACCTATGATGTCCTTCAACCATTGCTGCCTTTACCACTCATTCTGACATCGATCCAAAATATCTCTATACTTTAGGTATATCTTATCCATCCAAAAATACTCTAGGCTCCACCATGTCAGGTCTCCAGATCCCATATACCTTTACATCTTTCACTTTCCCTTGAATAACACTACAACATAGTATATACTCAAATTTTTTAAATCAAATGCAAATATGTTAGAAGGAACATGGTGTCAACTAGGCCCAGGGGTCGATCTCTTTGAAGCAATTAGCATCATTCTGTTCGAAGATTAGAGCAAGGGCTTGTACACACTGCTCCAACTTGCCTGAGGGTTTTCTCTAACGCCCCTGCTTGGGGAAGGTGCAAATAACTGGAGCTTTCAATTCACACTCACTATCTCCTTTATCCAACCAGAGCAGCCCCACTTCACTCTTCTATTTATTCAGGATGTCTCGCCCCTGACTTAGTCACCTCACTTGCCTCACTCTCGTCCTGGCCCTGACCTAGACCTCAACTAAGTCCACTGATTTTATAAGTTCTATTCAGTAGTTTTTTCAGATAGTAGTCTTTTTGAAAGGGGCATTACATTGTTATTGTTGGTGATGAGCAGGTGTGTGTGTTAAAGGGAATTGAAGTCCACTGACCTAGAAATTCTGCATAGCCAGCCAAATGTCTTAGACATGTATCCCAACGGTCCCAAAGTGTTCTGCAAGGTGTCTATCAGTGATGCTGTAAGTATGGACTTCAGATCAGCAGAACTAGCAGCACCGTGGAACTTGTTAGAAATGCACATTCTTAGGCCCTATCCCAGACCTACTGAATCAGAACCTCTGGGGATCAGGCTCAGCAATCTGTACTTAACAAGCTCCCAGGCTTGTTACAATGCATGGTAAAGTGTGAGAACCACTGGGGTACATAGATAGACCCAAATCTAATACCACAACCGGCAAATCCCCAAATTACCCCAAAATACCCAAAAGTGGTATTTTCTAAGAGTTAGGGGCAATGGTATAGCAGCTCTTACCAACCAGGAAGTTTTCCTTTAAAACTGCTAGAAATGAAGTATCTGAGAAAGTGACATTTACTTGTGAAAGTAATTAATAACTTTCAAAAGGATCACATGTTAAAATCTAGAGGCTCTAGAAACTCTTATTTTAAAATAGTTAGAGAAATACGTAAAATCTCTCAAGAGTCACTTCTGAGCTTAGTAAATTTGACCATGTCCCTCTCTTATGTAAAATCCTTCAATGGCTTCCCACTGTACTTGAGATAAAGTATAAAATCTTTAACATTGCTTACAAAGCCCCTTATGATCTGTCCCCTGCCTTAGTCTTTAACTTCATCTCTTACCACTTTCTCTCTTAATTACCACCCTCCAGTCATAATGACCTTTTAATTCTTTGAATGCACCAACTTCCTCCTACATTGGAACAGTTCCAATTTGATGTGCCCACCACATGGAATTCTCATCACTCAGCTCTTGGCCTCATTCACTCTTGCTATGAAAGAGTGAAAGGTACCCATGAAGACAACAGTTCCTCGGCGATGCTTTCCCTGACGCATCTCCCCCCTCACTCCTCTGAAACTCACATTAGGTGAGGTTCTATTATTATATATTCTTTCATAATGCTCTCACTCCTTTTCAGCATTTATTACATACCTTTATTTGTGTGTGTAATTAGTTTCTTGTCTTTCCCCTCACTACACTCTACATTAACAGAGGCAGGGGCCATGTTTCTTATTTACCACTGTTTCCCAAGCACGTCATATCTAATAAGAATGAAAAATCTGCAGATAGCTATAAAGATATAAGAACACGAAGAAATTTTAAACATTTTACAAGGGCAAATGTATTTCTGTGACATATTTATTCAATTTTATCCCCTGCTTTCCTTCATTTTAAAGAAAAAATCCAAATTCATTTCCCCCCATAATTTCCCACAAATAGGTTCTAGGGAGCAGCAGTTCAGAACCACTGAGATGGAACGTGAAGAGATGTGAACAATGTCTAACTAAGTGCACTGCTTAAAGTAAACAGAAAAATGCTTAACCAGCGTTCGCAGGCTATCCTCTAGCTTCTCCCTGAAGGACATGGTTATGGATGAGTGCCATGATCACCCATCTGGGAGAAATTTTAAGACAGAACTGTCCAGGCTTATCTTCCCTACATCCATTTTAGAAAGAAAATAAACACAAATGTAAAACGGGAGAGAATGATAAAAGTAAATATTACAAGAAAGAAGCCACCTTAGCAGATGGCATCTGCAAATTAGATCATGTTTTCTAATAAATCAATCCAGTCAACTTTGACAAGTTACATCGCACATGTTGACTTTTCAGATTGTTAGCCAATGTCCCTTTTAAAATAGATGGTAAAATAAAAACAAATAAATGAAGCAACAATCCTCCCTATTGGTAGGCCAAACCAAATAAAAGCTTCTCACTGTGTTCTGGAAGCTAAATTCTTCTTCTTCTGAAAGATTTAAGAATATGAGCCCTATTCAAAACCAAAAGGACTTGGCTAATCACTCTCAAAATGTCATAGGCAGGAACCATCAATTAACCACTCTCCCAGGTTGTGTAAAGAAATAAAATGGCATTACTCCTTAATAGTCCCTTCCCCCGGGGCCGAGACTAACCGACAATGACAGAGGAGAACTGGGGGAAGGGCACTATGAGGTTGTTCTCTTGAGCCACATGTCCAGTGACATGCAGCAGCAGGGTGAGATGGGAGTAATCTCTCGTCCTCGTCTGGTAGGAAAAAAGTCAGGAAGGAAAAAGAAGGCCCTACAAAACAAATGTTAAATCAGAGGGTATGATTTAAGGTTGAGCACCTCTCAACTGCCCTCTATGAGATAGTTAATAGGAAAAGACAACAGGGCCACCCTGAAGGGAGTTCCAGTTCTGTGACTTACTAGCCAAGCCACTTTAGGCAAAGTACTTAACCTCCCTGAATCTCATTTTTCTCATTAGGAAATTGGGGTAAGGATAACTACCTTGAATAGTGGTTGTGAGAATTAGAAATGATGTATTTATGTAAAGTGCTTAACATAGTGTCAAATAGTTAGCACTTAATAAAAGATAAAGTAGCTTTTGTTATTTTGAATTTCTCCCAGCCGGCAATAATGACAACCAAAAAAAAAGAACAACAGAAAGTCACGTTTCACTCTCTCAAGGAGAAGACTGCATTAACAGGGAAGGCAGGCAGTCAGTAAAACTGATGTTAACAAATACAGTTTTTTCTGTAATAAGGTTAATGTGAACACATCGGACAATAAATAAGAATAGAACATAAGGGCAAGAGGCACACGTCTATTTCCCCCTGACCATAGACTGAATCCTACATGGAGAAATGATCTAACCAGAATGGCATTTACTATGTTCTCATGTTGTAAATTCAGTCTCACTGACCTCTCCCATGGCCACTATCAGCGACTCTCGAGATTCTCAATAAGTAATATTTGAAGAAGACCACAACGATAATTATTCTAGAAACAGCTTATGAAACAAAACAAATTCTCATCTTACACATTTCCTCAGTGTTCTTGAATTGGGAACTTAACTGAATTATGATTCATCAAGAAGCCTACTTCTGTTTAAAAAAACAAATCATTTATCATCTTTTTGTAAAAAAAAGGCCATTTTCAAAATACTCAAAAAATACATAAAGAACAAATGAAAATCCTATGGAAAATGGGTGAAGGTTATGAATAAGACGTTCACAGAAAAAAATGCAAAGAGCTGGTTAACAAAACAAAGATGCATAAACTCACTCATAATTAAGGAAATGCAAATCAAAACCACAAAGAGATTCCATTTTTAATCTACCGCATTGACAAAAATTTTAAATTTCCATAATATCAAGACATGCAAAAAGAGACGTTCTCATTCACTGTTGATGAGATATTCTATAAGAGGAAAAGGTGGCACACCTAGTTAAAACTGCACATACCATTTGACACAGCTATTCTACTGTTAGGAGTTGGTTCTACAGATATGCTTATAAAAGTATGTCAGAGTTAGCCAAGGCACCAACATTGGTATTAGCAAAAACCAAAACAATCCCTCACCCCCAAACAACCTAAATATTTACCAGAAAGTTAACAGTTAAATAAATTATGGTACACACTTATCATGTAATACTGGACAGCCATTGAAAAGAACAAAGCACACTGAATTTGCTGACATGAAAAAGGACCCAAGATATGAACCAAAAGAGGTGTAGAATGGTTTATGTAAAATAATCCCATGTGTAAATATCTTTAAAAAGAATAAATATAAACACATTTGAATAGATAAATAGAGATAGCCATGTAGATTAATAGATAGATACATAAACATTTTTCTGGAAGCACATATGGGAAAAATGCTTGTTATCAGTGATTACGGGAAGAAAACTAGCTATTGAGTGGTAAATAAGAAAACATCTACTTTATTTTACAACTTTATAGTATTAATATTTAATTATGTGTGTAACTTTTATTTTAAAATGCTAATTTTAAAAGAAGAAAGAGAAAATCCTATTCCTACCTGATTCTTTCAAGTAATGCTTAATAATTGAAGAAATTCCGTGAGGTGCCACAAAGTTACAGTCTCCTTCTTTCATCACCATTCCTTCAATAGGAGAGGTCAGAGGCTTCAAAATACCATGAGCTAACAGTTCACCATAAAAACTGAAATAAATCAATGTATTATAACATAATTATATACTATAATTAGCTCTAAAATACTATATTCTCTTCTAAGAATTCTTAGAGATTATAATCCTAAATAATAACTAGAAATCTTCATATGATAAACTCAATGTATGTTTTGTGTTAAACAAAACTTATAATTCAGGTGAAGCATAGAAATTCCGAGAACCCATAGATCTTTTGCTGACATTAGCCAAAGGCCTATTCTTCCATATATTTCAAAATTAAAGTCAGTGAAGATAAACAGAAAGGTATTCAGCACACCAATTTTAGATTGGATTAGGATTGACTTCCATTAAAGCTATCCTCAACAGCAATGTAGTAATTCATCTTTATGAACCCTTATTATGTTACATATAACATCTCATCTTGATCTTGACAACAACCCTATGAGGCTGACATTACAGTTTTCCCACTTCGGTTAACCTTTTACTGCTAATACCATCAACAATGATAATATCATAATAATTTCACTTCATTACAAAAAGCAAAGTTTAACCATGTTAAAGATGGATGATTTATATCTTTTTACATTATACAACTTGTAAGACTGATTCCACCCCTTTTAAATAACTCACCTTTGGTGGGTTTTGGCATAATGAGAAGTGCACGTGATGTACTGAGCACCCAAGTCGACTGTGCACTGTGAATTATGAGGACTGCTGGCCGTAGTCATTCTTCCTCCTTGAATTAATCCACAGGAAAATGTCTTAGTGCATTATAATGAGCCTTTTGCAATTAATGCTATTCCACTGCAGGTTACCCCAAATGGATTACTTGACAGATGTATTAAAAAACTTTTTTTTTTTAAGTGAAGGCTTTATCATCTAACACTGTCAGGAAGTAGTTAACAGAGACAATTTGTTCACTGATTGTAAGAAATTTTTTAAAAAGGACTCATGAATAACGTAGCAGAGTTCAGCACTGTGCCTGGTACATATATTTACTAATTTGAATAAAAGGAATGAATGGATAAAATAAAACAAAATGATGAATGAAAAGTCAGAATGAATGAATCAGGGAAGCTCTTTCTCTCTTGCAGTCAGGTTTCCTGAGAACAACAGGATTCTGTAAACTAGATCTTCGTAAAGTCTTGGTCAATGGGCATTTTGGGATTCTCATAATCTGGAGAAAACTGCAAAGGCACAGACAGGTAAAGATAAAAACCCATTTATTAGCAACAGCGGTAGGCCCAAACTTTGCAAAGTCTGGTCAGGCTTCCTCCCAAGTTGACCACGCCTCCCCTCCAAGAATTCGCGGTACTCCAGCCCCACCCCCAGCCCAGCCGGGGTCGCCGCCCCCGCCCTCGCCCCTTCTCAGGCCTTTTCCCGGAAGGCGGAAGTCTCCAGTCACGTGACGAGGCGACCCTGCGCAAGCCGCTTCCGGGCCGAGGTGGGAGCCGGTTGCGGGATTTTCTCCACAGACTTCCTCCGCTGGGGCCCACACCTCCTCAGAAGTCAGCGGCCGCGCCGACTTCCCTTCCTCGGTTCAGCCGTTAGACAACCCACCTGAGTCCTCAGCCTTGTCCCACACAGCGAGGTGCAAAGGCCGGGACGTCTCCCTCCTCAGCAGCGCTGCGCACAGGCTTCCTGTGAGCCCGGCGCCCACGATCAGCACCCGCGCCATGGCGCGGTGTCTCCGCGGCGAGGCTGGCGGCCTGCAGTTAGTGCAGCGGCGGAAGCCGGGCTAGCGTTTCTGGGCTCCGCGCTCCGGCCCCTGGCCCGTCCCCGGCCCGTCCCCTAAGCAGTCCCGCCGGCCGGCCTGCAGGGGGCAGAGAGGAGGCGAGCGTAGCTGAGAGGCCGGTCAGCCCTGAAGCCGGCAAACCACGGCGCTGCGGAGAGCCTGCGCTTTCCCCTGGGTTTGAGGGCCGGGAGGTGGCTTCCAAGACAGGCTGGCGCCATCAGCTAAGCTGTAAACTCTGACCCGCCCGTCGCCTAGAAAAACATGGACATAATGTAGATTATATAGTGTGAGAACCCGCCTCGCCACAGGGTTGGCGTTGGCTACAGCGGAGAACCAGCCTGTTGGGACATTTGCTATCTTAGTATTCTGTTGAAAGTGGAGAGGAGAGGGAACATACCAGCGATGCCGGAGCAAGCTTTCTTCCCGTACTCTGATGGCCAATGTTCACCTAATAGGAAAAGAGTTTGCAATCAAGGAGAGATTTTTCTTAAAGTAGCCCTCAGACTTGATGTGTTACGTAACCTTCTCGAATCCAAATTTCGCCATCTGTGAAATGGGGGCAATAGTGTATATGTTCCAAATTTGTGAACATTAAAGATGTTGAATTCGCCAGAAATTTTTAGATCACTCATCTCTTCAATAAATATGAAGTTTGATGTCAGATCACATTCCAAATGCTTTAAGGTATATAAAGATGAACAAGAGAAGGATTCATGACATTACCACTGTTTTCTTTTCCTAATATTGTCCTGGAAATTCTCAATGAAACAACAAAAAGCAATGAGAAGTCTGAACTATTAAAGAATACAGAATTAAATTACACTGAATTGCAGATAAATTATTACCTGGAGAACTCTAGAGAAATTGAATAATAACTATAACTATGAATAGCTAAGAACTAATAAGAAAGTTGACAGTGGTAGCCAACTATAATGAAAACATTTAAAAATAAGAAGTTTTACTTTATGTCCACATTATGTAGAAATTACTATGCATCAAATTGGTGCTGGATTAATATTACATGTATCTAATGAAAGATAAAAGAACTAGAAGAAAATATAGCTGAACATATATAGCCTAAGAAGACATTTATAAGAATAAAAATAAAAGAACTAAACCGAAAAGCATTGAATACACAATCACTTACAAGTTGTGTGTTCCAAAATATGGAAGCCAAAATACAAATCGTGAACAAATTTTTAGACCAGGTATGAAAGATGAAAGTTTGATATCCTTATTATATAAAATCTTAAAGACATAGTTAAATTGCAAAATCCAAAAAGAAAGATGTGCATAGATTGCATAGAAAGAAATACAAAATTCCAATAAACATGTAAGAATGTTTAACTTTTCTATAGTCAAATACAAATTAAAATGAGAAGCCATTTTTCATTTGTTGGGAATTACTTTTTAGTATGTTAAAGATCTACATTTGGCAAGAATGCAGCAAAGTACACATTTTAATGTATTTCTGGTGGCAGTGTAATGGACGAGTTTACTGGAATGCAGTTTGATAATATGTCAGAAGCCTTAAAACTATGCCGTTTAAATGAGACATTCCAGGTCTAGACATTTATTTGGGGAAAATAATGTACAGATGTACATTATGATTTATGTATAAATGTGTTTAACTCCCTGTTACTAGAAACATTGAAGTATACAATCAATAGAGAATTGATTATGGCGATCCATACATCCATATAAAGCTACTAAAAGCATAGTTTTGAATATATTGGGATGTATAGGAAACTACTCATTCTGTAATGCTGAAAAATAGGCTACAAAGCTATAGTCAACTCCCAGATTTTCCTGAACACACACACAAATATATGTGCAATATTAGAGAAATATGAGAGGAAGCAGATGTACTTATATTCTTCTATTAATTTCAAATGTTTTATAAAGACCATATATTTATAACCATTTATTTATTTGTTAGTTATAAACAAAGTAAAGCTAGACAGAATAAGCTAATAAATCCCTGTCTTAAAGTTGCTTGTAGTCTAGTCTAATTTAAGAAATTTCTCTGAAATCAAAAGCTTAAATAATGTGATTGACAATGACAATCTAAAAGCTCAGATTGTCTAGCTGGAAAGGTTATTTGAGGTAATCTATTTCAACAGCCCTGGGCTGCCACCGTTTTACATATGTAAATATAGACACTAAGTTTAAGTGAGTTTGCCCAAGGTTACACAGTATCTCAAAGAGGAAGCCAGGAGAGGTCCTCACAGTCTTGTGAGTCTGTTCTCCTGCTCTTTTCCATCATCTTCTGCTTTCTCATTTCTGTTAATAGTCTGATCATCTTGTGTAATCCATCCAGAAACTTCATTATCATCTTCAATAACTTCTGTTTTCTCATTCTTGATATCTGTCAGTCCTCTAGTCTTTTTGACCTCTTCTCCCTTGTCTCTCATATCCAATCTCATCAAATTGTACCAGAAAAGTCCAAATTCCACTTCCACCAGCAATGTACTGAAGTGCCTGTTGTACTGTATTCTTGTCAGCTGTGGACATTTAGCATTTTGAAAAGTAATCACCAACAGATTAATTCATTACTTAAGTTCGATCAATTATTATTTCTTAACTGAATTATTACAATAGCTTTCTAACTGCTGTCCCTACTCCCGGTCTCTGTTCTGCACTGATCTTCTAGATCAGTCACTACCATCCTCAAAAAACTTTCAGTAGCTCTCAGTTTCATAAATAATCAAGTTCATCTGCTTGGCATAAAAAGTATTCAGTGAAATTTCCCCAACCTATGTTTATATTTTATCTTGGTAATCTTCATATGTCCTGTGCTATAGCAAAATTGAGTTACTTTAGGTTCCCTGAACATGTTCTTAAATTTTCCACTTATCTGTGGAAGCAGTAAATCTTTGCTTTTGCTATTCCCTGAGTATAGAGCATACTTTTTTGACTTATGTTTCCAGTAGTTGTAAATTTGCATTAATTCTTCACTCTATTTTTCTTTTCCCCTATGATCAACAATATGCTCTTTAAAAGGTTACTGGGAATTTGGGATTGTTATGACCATTGAATAAAGGTAACCATAGTGGCTTGTGATTTTTCATTACATTAGTCTTCAAGGAGTGGTATAGCCACCCACCCCACCCCCAACTCCCAACATCTAGAATGGGTTATATTAGTCCAGAGCTATAACTATATGGTAATGGGTCCAGGGTTGGCTACTGGCACTAGTATATCTTTCTGGGAGAGGTGAGAATGACTAGTTGAGCTAGAGAAAGTAGGATTGCAAAGTAGCTGGGACAGCTCTCTGCTGTCATATTTACTCTTCCTACTTACCTTGACCTTTTCCCTTAACTTCTTTCCTATTCCTGATCTTTGCAAGGCTGGATCCTTCTGATCATTCAAATCCAGCTTAAAAGTCACCTAAAGGAGGCATTTTCTAACCACTTAATCTAAAACAGCCACCCAGTGACTCTATATACCATTAACCTGTTTAATTTTCTTCATATCACTTAATCACTTTTAGAACTTATCTTGCTTTTTCACCTGTTTATTTATTTATTGTTTTTTAAATTATCTTTCTCCTACTAGAATTTAAGTACCAAGAGAACAAAAACATTGTCATATTCCGTACAGTATCCCTGGCAATTAGAATCAAAGTTAGAATTTTCAGAGACTGAGAGTTCACTGACCGTTTGCCTAGAAGGTATACAAGCCTTTCAAGGATAATACTTAAATTAGGATAAGCTGAATGGTAATTCAGTCGGGTGATCAATATTAAATATCCTTTCCCAGAGAGTGTGTTTTTATAGTATAATTTAACTTTAATAATATAAAATATCATGCCAGTCAGCAAAGGATATCTATAAGTATGATGCACAGCTCTGTCTGTCCTCACTTAACTGTGTTATTGATAGATAACTTGGATAAAATTGATCTGACAGTTTTTAGACAGCATAAAACCAAGATGAATAGCCCCATATGAAATGGGACTATTTTAAAATCAGAATTTTAAAAGATTTCAACAGGCAGTCACTGAAACAAGTTTAACCAAAAGAAAACTCGACAAGGCTATTCAAAGTCTTACCCTGTATCTAGAAAATAATTTTACGGAATCAGGGAAAGAGGGCTTAGAATTTTAGTTGACCCTAAGCTCATTATGAGTTAACAGTATAATAGAGCTGCCAAGGTAAAAAGTAAATATAAACCTAGGCTATGATAGTCTCACACTATTTAGACTGGCCAAACCACATGTAGAATACCATGTTCAGTGCTGGATCCCAGATTTTAAAAGGATCATTCAAAAACTGGTGCCATTCCAAAGAAAGGTAACCAGGATGGTAAGCAGACTTGAAATTATCTTATTTGAGCAGGTAAAGAGGAGATTTCTAGTGTAGAGAACACTTGAGGAGAACATGAAAGCTATCTTCAAATATCGGAAAGACTTTAAGAGAAAAAAATAATTGCACATTTTCAGCACACTAATCAATTGATGAAAACTACAAGAAAGTAGATTCTAACTTAACTCAAAGAACATGTTTAAGGAATAATTTTAAGTAGTTACATCTAAAAATGGAATGAATTTCCTTAAGAAGTGGCTTTCCAGTTGGGAAGCCTTCAAGCAAAAAGTGGATGAGCACTTAGTGGGGGATTGCAAAAGGAATGGAAGTACTGGATAGAAGAGCAGTCCTCAACCTGGGTTTCACATAAGTTAATGAAGATTTTATAAATGGTAGCCAGCTATAGTTTTAAGGGAATCAAATTCCACATCCTCAGCTGCTGAAGGTAATTTTTACTAATATATCTGTAAAAGCCTTTGTGGTCAAGCAGATTCTCCTTTCTCACTTTCCCTTTCACAATTGCTCTTGAATACTTTATGAAAGAAAGACGTATCTCTCATTTATCTGTAATCTTACTATAGGGCATTGACTTGGGGAGTAGAAATTTCTGATCTTTCAAACAAGGGACTATTTCAAATATTGGAATTGGTATTGACAAAGTGATTAAATCATCCTGCAATTTCGTTGGGTTTCCAATTCTTTGCCTTCAACAAAATTGAAG